GTAGCAACCATCATACTAGCCACGGATGCTGTGATCAAGCCAGCATTCAACTAATGGTGCCTAAGTAGAAATGGTGCCATGTTCAGCTGGAAGTGAGCATGGCTACTCTAATGCTGTATTGACTTCAGTACTAAAATACTTCAATGCTAAAGTGCTGGAATTTAAGATAGACTACAGACACAGAATAAAAATATCAAAGATACTGGGCTCCTTGGAAATTAGTTTAGCTGGAAGATGAAAGATCCACTTATTGCAGATACAAGACAAGAACTTAGTAATTTTTTTGGAAGGAATTGTCAGAAGTGGAAGTGTATCAGTTCCTATCGTTCTGAGTGACTCCTACTGCAGCCTATTAATTATAGGAAACAAAAACAGTTTGATATACGATTGCTTTGTAGTAGAAAATAGGACAAATTATTCATAACATAAAGCTTCAATAGCTGCATGTCATCACAGTAGAAAATAATTGATACAGAGGGACCTAAAAGATCTTACTATAATTCCTCTAGCCATTAGTTGTTCACATAGGAATCTTAGGAGTAATGCTGTACGGAATCTAAGTCAGACTCTTAGTTAAACAAACACCCTCTAGACAATAAAGCAAACTAAATCCTTGAGACCAACATCAGCTTCTCTCCTAATCAACACAGAAGTCAAAGTCACCAACTTTGTCCTCCTTGTGTTCCAGTTCTACCAAATTTGTTAAGCTAAGTTGTATAAGGCTACTTCCCTACCCTTGCAAAGGAGCTAAGAGAATTAGCCCTTACCTCCTCCTAGGATTCAACTGTATTTTGAGGAAAGCAAAACAAGGCCTCTGATTCATCCTAATTTCATGTGACAGACTAAAGAGTACCCAGCAGTTTTCCAGAAGCCACTAAAACAGCACTGAATGCTACATCTCCATACAGTGGCCAGATATGCCACAGTTTTGAGAACCTTGGCAGAAGGGTAAACATGAAGGTGTGGATATTCCATCGCATACTTGGCAATACACATAAGAGCTGTTGCTGCCAAACCAACTAGACTGTGAAATGCAGATACAAGCTGAGGAAGGTCAGAGATTTCAATTCATTTTGCAATGGTAAGACCTGCAAAATTAAATGATTTAGATCCAAAACAAAATATTACATTGTGTTTCATACTCAAAGCATAAACAGACCATTGAGCAAGAAAAGGCTGTTTACTTTTTAATGCTGTTTTCCTTTTAGTACAATTAAATAGAAATATAATAGTTATAGGAAATTTTAACCTAATTTAAGTCTTTTCCAAAAATACATTGCTAGAACATTTTGAGATGACAGCTTGTAAGAAACAGAGCCAGAACAGCTCTTTTGAAGCCACTGTTTCTTACATAGGGGAGAAAGTTGTGCAGATGCACCCGCCAGTTTCCAAATACATTTTGCCTACAGAGAACCAAGGCAGGCAAAATGGCTCTGAACACAATAGAAGCCTGCTACAATCTAAGTGACAAACTGGCAAAGAAGTAGTACCTTCCCCTCTTCTCTCTTACCAAGTTACAGCCTCAACCTTTGAGAATGTCTGCTGGTCTCCATAGCATCAGATACAAAATCCTCAGAGATGCAGCATTAAAACTACATGCAATTTTAAAAATATTTATTTTCCTTCAAATTGATAAAACTCTAATTCAGATTAACTGTGGCAGTTCATAGATTCAAAACAAAAATAGCACAGCACACAACTGAACCAAAACACATCATCTGAAAACAAAACCAAAGGAAAAAAAAAAAAGAACATGTATCATTGCTGTACAAAGCTTTACTCTTTGTAAAAGAATACAAAGGCATTGGAAGGGTTTTAAAATCTGGAGGAGGAAGAAGAACCAATAGTTTATTTCAAAGATGAGAAAGGTTTCTTCTCAGTTTATTAATGCAAGTACCCATTTCTGATTGTAAGGCTCCTGCACATTCCTCCTTCCACATTTTCTGGTTTCTGTATTTCTTTGACATCAATCCACCAAGCGACCATGAAACTAATTAGCATCCCAGCAGCTCAGTTGCAGGATCCATTGACATATATTGGAGTACATGTTTTCAATTACCATCAACACTGTCATATTGTTTTCTAATATTAGTCTACAATGCCTCAACTACTGCCTCATTCTTTATTATTTTTCAGGCTTATTTCTTAATCCTCTGTATCAAGAGAAAAATACTTATCACATTAGTTCAAGATGAAAGATATTACACCTTTCCTAGGTTTGTCCAGTACTGGACAAATTTAAAACTGTTTTAGACACTATAATCCTCATGGGCAAAAGCAGTATATTTTATCAAATTAAATATGAAGTACACATTCTCTCTTATTTTGATTTTAGATATTTTGATATTAAAAATGTTCTGAAATTCCTACATGACTTCATTTAGCAATCATGCAGACTTCCTTTGGTATTTAAAGAGCACATGGTGACAATTTTAAATAATAAATTGTCTGTTAACCTGCATCACTGAATGAGTATAAAGTATGATCAGAAAAACCCATGATGCTCAAATCATAACTATCAGACAAATATAGCCATTGAACATTCTTGGAACATTGTAAAGGCCAAAGACCATGTGTTGGCTGGTATCCTCAAGAAATATTTATGGGCTTTTCAGAAGTCTAAATCCAAAAACGTAAATCTGACAGAAGGGAAACTGTCATATAAGGACATTAACAATGCTGAGATGAAGCAAGTTTTTATATATACTGTATCCTGAGAACACCTGAGGTTAAACAGACTAGCTGTATGATTGTGTTGATGTGGCTTGTACTATTGCTTATGGAAAAGATGCAACATAACAAGCAGCAAGAAGTAACAAAACCAACTTCCCAGAACACATCTCAAGTATTCATACGTAAGACATCTAGGAAAAAAAAAGTTAGCTTCAGGGATTTCACACCTTGTCTCTAAGAAGCAACAATGCAGCATATAATTTTGATCCAGTGTTTAATTATTAGCCTGGTCCTCACAATTAATCAGGTCAAAATCTAAGTGTAAGAATGGAAGGCTCCTTTATTTGTTTGCAGAATATAAACTGAAAATACCTGTTACAGCTTCTAGTTCAGTCTGATCTCTGTCAGTCTTGAATATTTATTACTTTTTAAGATTTTATTCATCTATTCCCTCCATGCATTATAGCACAAAGCAAAATGCTTTACTTTATTCTTTTAATATACATGAGCTATTCTGGCATGGCAGTACAATATCATTTCAAAGAATGGGGTTCTAACATAAAACTAACTGTGAAATAACCATTTGGAAAATAGCCTTTATTACTTTCTATATTGACTGCCATGTAACCTTCTAGTAAGTTCCAGGACATACATCAGATTTCCCTCCAGCAATGGTACTGTTTGAAAAACTTTGAAGAATTAATGAAGTCCAACACCTCATTTCTTCCAGATTTAGTGCTGAAATATACCTCCTTTATCGGTCTTCTTTTAGTGCAAAATACCACCTTTCTCTGTCTATACTAAAGATAATTGCCAATTAGAATCTACCCCTAGGAAGAAATTGCTCAGTTTTAATAAGTTTTGAACACCACATGCATCAGGATGTAGATTAAAAAAAGAGCAGATAAAAGTAAATATTGTCTCTCTCCTCATGCACTTATAAACTAAACTAAATACAGATTGGTACTTCTGCAAATGAATTAAATCCTTTGATGAATGCTGCTTTGTAACTAACTGAACATTATGGAACTGGCAATGAAAGGCTGTTTTCTCTTGAATGAAACAGTACAGTCAAAGGAATATGCTCAAATAAGGACAGTAGAAAACAAAAAGGCTATAAAATTGTCTCCCTGGCCCTAGGGATAACAAATTCCATGATCTAATGAAGAAGGGTGGCAAATATTTGCCCATATAAGTGAATGGTTTTCCTGCAGGGCCTAATTCTGCACATATCCCTTGTTCCTCACTGCTCGTAGCATTAATATTTCAGGCAGGATTAGGTTCTTTGCTTGCTCCTATGGCTAGGTTTGCTAGCACAGACCACTCTCCTAGTTTTGAATTACTTAACAGAAGAATGCTGAACATTGAATAACCTGTTCAATGTTATGTTAAATGGCATAGAAGGGTACCATATCCTCCTTTAAATGCTGCTTTAGGAAGAAGGCAGAGATAATCATATTCTGGAGTAAGTTATTGGAAAACATCCAGCATTCTGAATAATTAAGAAATCACCTGTTCAGAAATTAAATTTCACCTGAAAGATTAAAAAAAAAAACAATCAAAATTGTTAAAATTTTTATTCAGACAGAGCTCTGAGCAACCTGACCTAGTGGAAGATGCCCTTACTCATTGCAGAGGGGTTGGATTAGACAGCCTTTGAAGGTTCCTTCCAACCCAAACCATTCTATGATTCTAAGAGAAGTTTCCAGCTGGAAACCCTACCTGTGGATGGGTAGTCTCAGTGTAAGAGTGGTCAGACTAAAATATGAAAGTGCATCTTGACTGCGGCTATTTCCAGTGAGTCTCTTGAATCAATTTACCTTAATCTATCCCTCTCTTCTATGCACATCTCTGCAAATATTTTTAGTTACAGGTTTTCCACACCTGAATAGTCAGTCTTACGATCCAGAAGTCCGTAATTATTTTTCACCTTCATGGTCAGCAAGAAGAGACTTCAGGGGCTGTCCTTTTTAAAAAAAATAAATCAGGTTACTGATTTTGATACCTGATTATTAACAGAAACCTAGCATTAGACATACTGAACTTCAGAGATAAGTATGCTATCGGGAAAATAAGTCTATTATTATTCCCACATGCAGTTTTGCACTTCTATATCACGGCAAAGGCATGTGGTATCTCAATTAGACAAAGTAACCTAGGTACTTGTGTACCAAACAAAGATACTTGTGTATCTTTGGGAAACTTAACCTAGTAGTTTCATAACCTGAAGAAGCATTCTCCTTTTTTTAGAAACATCCCATCTGTCAGACAAAAAGGGTATTATGCAGATCCCGTGCAGATGAAAAAGCAAAGAATATAGACAGATATACCTGAGATGACATCAAAGTTCTCATCATGTCTTCTCACTATTCCCATTAATTCTCTTAAACATTTTTCTTCTTTAGTCATCTTGTCACTCACAGAAATATGTATATTTACTGTTGAGACAATGGGTATAAAGTTGATGCTTATATGTCAGTATTCCTGTATTTACAAGCAGTTATCATTATTTGGCAACTTTGGCTGCCAGTAAAATTTCTGTGCAGGAACACACACCATGGATCTAAGTAATATGAAAACAATATTATTTAGTGCCTGGAGTAAAAGTTTAGAGGCAGGAACTTAAATTGTAATTTCATTTGTAATTCACTTTGGGTAAGTCATTAATCTTGTTTTGATTTCTTGTAAGTCCCTCCTAATGAAATTGAAATAAAATCTCTCATAATGAAGTACACAACGTAAAAAAGCAGCAGACAATACACTCAGCAATAATAAATGCAATTTCTGGCATCAGAGGCAAATGGAGGCCAGGTGTGACTTCCTGGGTATTGTGATAACCACCATTCCAAGCAAGAACAAATCTCGTCACTATTTGAATAAAAGAAGGATTAGGATAAACAAGAGTCAGTCCTAAAATACATGCCAAACCTATAAAGAAAAAAGAGTATGCACTCAGAAGAATAAACCAGCACTTTTCTTTATTAATCATAAAACAAGGCACTGAACCCAAACCCTACTTCCACTGAAATGTCACTGACACCCATGACAGCAGAAGGCATTTCCTGCACGTGACTTTAAACATGCATAACTTGTAGACATTGTTTTTGCCAGAAAACTAACTTTGGAATAATGGAATCTTTGTCAAACTGAGGATGAATTGGGGACCCCAGGATCCAGCAGATGCATACGGGACTGCCAAACTAGATTTCTTTAAAAAATATTCCACTTGGGCAAATATGGAGAAATAGTTTATTAAAAAAAATAAATAAATATGTCAAATTCCCCAGTGACTTCTCACAACCTTTACTGCTTTAGTAGGAATACAGACCACAGTGTAGCATCTGAACATTGTTAAAAGATGCAAGACCACACAAAGAGTTCAACAATACTTCCTTGGGAGAAAATATTATTGCTCCCAGTACTAGTTTCTTTGACCATATGTGTTAGCGGCTTAAGGAAATGTTTTTCCCTCTTTAGGAAAAGACTAGATCATTTAATTAATCCAAGATAATATAATATTTTAGAGACATATTTTGTCATCACTTGCACAATGTTTTGTTAAATATACCCAAGTATATTTACTGAGCAAATCATTGTACAAATATCTGAGATGAAGACAAAGCTCAGGGTAGAAACGTATCACAATCTCAATCTTGGAGATCGCGTTAATTTAATTTTCAATTGGATTATCATTTTAGGAGGATTTTAATAAAAAAATTAAAACTTGCACGCAAATTGCCCAATATTAATCAAAGAGAACAGATCTTCAAACAAGGATGGTACTTTGGACAAAACATTTTAAGTCCATGACCCTGGGAGGAGGCAGTAAGAAAGGTCTTTCAGATGCTGTACAAAGCTTGGTTACGGAATGGTTTGTTAAGTGAAACAGACTTCTCTTTTTTTTTGTCTTCCTCTAAGAAGGAAGAAAACTTTCTGTGCCACCAAAAATTGCTTTCCTTGAGTTCACAGATATTTCTATTGTTACTCATTTACCTTCAACAGGAGCTTTGAAGGTAATGAACCCTTGAAAAGGTGTGCTGCATGTATCCTTCACTGTACCATTTGCATTACTCTTTTTTTCATTCTATCATTATTTTTAAAGACATTTAACACAAAGACTGTAACAATCTTGTTTATGAGAAAAATCTGATTCAACATAATCAAAACCTTGCTATATGATTCATTTTCCATTTCCTACATATATTTCAACACAGATAATGACATCTGGAGTTCTGCAGTATATACAGGCCCTAATCCAAAAGCTTTTGAGAACAGTCTATGTTAATTTTAATTGGCCCTGGATTGGGTCCCTAACCTATATGTTGGCTCTTTATTTCTTACAAAATTAATATCAGAAGAAGTTTCTTGGTAACAAAAGGTATACAGTGATTCACCAAAGATCCCAAAAAGTTTAAATTTTAGCCTTTTCTTCACTTGGAAAGCAACATGATGTTAGAAACCCTGATTTACCACCGTCTGCTGCTTTTCAGTGTTAATCCGCACTACCTTTCAGGATCTCATTTTATTTCTACATAATTATTCCTAGCATTGCTCATCATTTAAATGCCAAACTGGCAAGAAGAAATATGTATAAGTTAATTCCCTTGTACCTTTTATATAAATTCCAGTTGTGTCAACAATTTTCCTAGATTGTAAGAGTATGCCTCTTCCTATTTTTGTGCTTTTTTTTAATAGAAAGGGATACTGTACTTGGGAAAGGTTATTGAAATAACACTTTACACCTCCTATTGCAGAACAAAACAATTAGGATGAATTCCTATTGTATCTTACCTTTCATTATGTTATGGAGGTACCCTTCAGAAAAAGTTCTGTCATGGTTACTTGTTTGTCCTTCTGAAACTAGTGGAATTACTCACATGAGCAGACAGAATGGGATTTGGTCTTGACCTTATACTGGTTACGAAAACCCTTTGTCTGTAAAATAGCACTAACCACTGAATTCAGTCAGCTGGAAAAACCATCTTTGTGTTCTTACTGCACCAGATTTGGCCTGATATATTTCATATGTAATACACCTAATACTGGAGAGGGGAAAAAAAAAAACAAAAACAAAAATACTCTCCCCTCAAAGTCAAAACCACACAAAAACACACAAAGCCCAGAAAACAAATGTTAAACAAGAAAACCTACCTAAATCCTAGATTACATTCCTTAAAAGCTGAACACGAATATGCTTCTTTACAAACACTTTCTTAGGAAACAGTAATTCCTGTCTGCCAATATTTAAATGTTTAGCATGGCTGTACTTTGGTTTAATGCTACCTGGAGGCAAATATGGATTCCTGTCAATCTCCCAACTCACCGTGACTGCAGAAATTAAGCCTTCCTCTTTACTACATCCAAAATAAACTTAATTGAAAAAAAAAAAAAACCAAACAACAGTCTTGCATAAAGAAAATTGCAGCCAACATACAGGTAATATCAGTTCTCACAAATCTCCTGATTTAACTGCATACCTAGTTCCTTTTCTCTTCCCAGAATAAAGAGCCAAAGGATGTAGAAAGATAGGAGAGCTACTGCTATTACGACAGAGACTATGCAAGATATAGCCCAATGATGTCGTATCAGGGTTCAAGTACGTTTCATATTTTGAGGATAAATTCCTGCTTGTTCCACTCTACCTCTCCTGACCTTGGCACAAAGACATACTGAGTGTTGTCAAACCGTTTGGGGTTGGAAGGACTTCCACTTCTTGAAGTCCTTTTGAGCTCACCTATTCCTACTTGTCAGCACTTTAGTTCAAAGCATATGGATTTGAGTCCATAAACTATCTTGCACTTGAAGTCATATTACTTGTGACACAATTCAGTAGCCCAGGAGATAGGCTGATTCTTAGTAACACATTCTTTAAAAACACAAGTTTACAGTACAACAGTAATTTTACAGATCAAACATTCTATAAATGTCTTTTTGCCCCATATTTTTGTGCTTGAAAGATGCAAGAAACTCCCACACATTATCATGTAGACATTGAATGATAATGTTTCCTTGGAATGACTAAACTAACAATCATAGCTTTCATACAACACAATTTATATGTTTTTATAAAAAAATTAAGTGGTGTTGAAACTCACCTTCATTACCAAAATTCCTTTAATGACATGATCAATAGCCCCATAATCTAAATCATCCTGTTGTTCAAAGTGAAAATATTCTTTCTTTCTTGGGAGAAACAGCTTTAATAATTTCAAGATGTTACTGGAATAAAGGCTACTGGCTTGAGTAGCCATTCTGTTTGGCAAGTCCTTGTAACCAGTGTTCACCACACCCTGATGAGAAAGAAAAGAAATAGTTGTCAAAGCTTTCACGTATTGGAAACTTTTCACATGTTCTCCACAGATCTGAAGCCTGTTTTATACATGCTAGTAAATCAAATTTGCATATTACTGCAGACATGAGTTACTAAAGCTTTCTTTTACAAGTTAAGGATTCTGTTTAAAACTAATAGCTTTCTCTGATGCATGACCAAAGAGAGTCAGCAGTTTTGTCAGGAAGCCAGAGACTAAATGAGCTGAGAGGCCAGTCAGGGAACTGGTTACAAACCATATGGTGCTTATTTTTGAGAATAAGAAATCCACTACTTCTTCAAATTCGAAAACACCTCATGATTGTCTGATAAGAATCACATTGCACAATGTGTTTCACAGATCAATTGCACTCCAGTCAATCCCAAGGAAGAAGATACAGATACCTTCAAAACTTAAATTCTTTGCAAATACATCTGGATAAAGATCATGTTTCTTTAACATCCCTTCATATTATTATGAAGGCAGAACATCAAAAAAACCCACAAGAAAATTCTAATGCCATGCTCTGAAAACTAGTTGCACTGAATTCTGATCTTGAACACTGTACTCTAAGTTATTGTTTCTTTCTTTCTTTCATTGCATCATTGCAGGATAGCCATCTGGACATTGCAGTTGCCAGTTCATCCCATATGCAGCCACACATCGACTTCAATACACATCCTGGAGTAAGTCATGTCATGATAGTCAAGTATGGGAGCCACAGAAGTCAATAGAAGGTAAATGAAATTACTTTAAGAAGGACTGTTCATTTCAGCTAGCTTTCCAGAAAAAAAACAATGCTTATATCTACTATCTGGAAGACAGTGAGGGGTGCAAGGAATAGCAGTGAATTCTGATAATCCTTTATAGCCCGCTTCCCAAATTGATCCTGATGAGAGACTTCTCCTTAGGTAAATTCCCACAAACAAATGATAGCATTTTTTATTGTTTCAAATAATGATCTTTACAAAGAAAACCAAATGACACTACTAGAAAGAGCAGGGGAAATGCAGCATTATAGTTATTACTGAAGAGAGTAAGGTAGAGAATAGCAGTTGCATAGAGGATTTCTCCCACACATGAGTATTTGAAGTGTTTTTGCACTACAGGACTCTCACAATTTAGATAAGTTTTTCACTATGCAAGCTGGGTATTTAAAATCAATAGATTGAACATACCTTTGAGCCCCATGGCATATGTGCAAGTCTTCTGTGTGCCTAAAAGCCCACTGCTATACCAAGCATAGGGCAACATGGGACATGCAGTCTAGACAACACACGTGAGGAGAGGCAGCCAATACCCAAATGGCTGATTGTATGTGACATGAGACCAGAATACTTGGAAACAATTCAGTATAGGAAGTATTTAAATTTGCAAGATCTAAATAAAATCTAAGTATTTCAGTTCATAGTTTCTACAGAAAATCAGCAGAAATACTTGTTCTTCACAGAAAAAAAAAAGCATAACTGGAATTTTCCTGTTTCCTGTTAAGATGAGGATAGCAAATTTCTTCTCAGCTCTGCTAAATGTGCAGTTGGGAATTATGCAGACTTTACTATCTTTATTCAAGCTCCAACATTACAAAATTGAGAGTAATTTGGACAATTAATTTAGCATATAACTGGAGATAAAAAAAAGTAAAGAAGCAAAGCTAGGCCCTCCTAGAAGAACAGCATAGGCCAGCAAGTCTACAAACGATTGATACCAGTTTTTGATGCCTGACATTGAGTTTTAACTGCTAGAACCAGTTCATTACATGAAAATAATCTTCCATTTGAAAACTATCCTTGTAACTAAAAATGTAAGTTGGAAATGTGAACCCCGAGAAAATACAAAAGAAAAAGTTAAGATTAATTACATCTTCATGCATTTTAAAAATGGTCCCTCATCTTCTTGTGTGTAACACCACTTAGGACTGCACTATTCTGAAAAAAATAAAAAACCCAAACAAGAACAAACAAAAACCCCAAACACACCACAAAATAACTGGTAAAACTCAAACTCTTTAGACAATACTCTAACATATTCTCTGGCAGCAGACATGTAATTGCACCTTTATATCATCTTATCTTTACACACTGCGTGACTTTTCCATATCACACCTGAGTTTAGCCTTCATCTAAAAATGTTAATTCTTTTAATGGCAACCTGGTAGTATCTACCATTCATATTGTACAACAACACAGAACACTAATATTGAAATTAAATCTCTAAATTTATTTTTCTCTTTTTCTATATCTGGAATTGGACACTAAAAATCCTTTTTAATAAAGCTCTAAGGATGACTATAAGAGCATTTATGGATATCATTGTAAAAAATGTTACCATTCTTAGAAAAGTCACAACGCATAAAACATTCAATGACAGAATGGTGTCTGGATAATATTCTAGTTTGTGGTTTCATTACTTGTGAAAGATTTTATTACACCACAACACACTGGTAACAATTCCATGACAGACTGGCAGTGGTTTCAAGGAAAGACAGTCTTCATTACTATAATAGCTATTACTTTTTAATTTGTTAGGGAAACACTGTATAATCTACACACCTTACAAATGTAAAGTTCTACAGGATGAGTCATTTCTACTTCACTTCCAGCCTCACATCTGTAATTACTGATCATTCTTTCACTGAGTCCATCATATACTTAGTGATTAGAATTAGAGCTTTCTTCCCCAATTTCATGTATAAGAAAGCAAGCCAAACAAATTTAATAATTCTTACTAAAGAGGGTAAATGGGAAAACATGCAATACACATAGGTGCTTTCAGAAGTAAATGTAAAATATTAATCACATTAAGTCTGAAATAAACACTACTAGGAAAGAGAAGGAAATACTCTAAACCATTGAATTAAAATGACATTAAACCTAATCCTGGAGCCTTTACTCATTACTAGTTTTTAGCACATACCCAGATACATGCATATCCAGATACATGCATATTTCAATAAGCAGGTTATACTAACAGGGACAGATGTTTAAGTTCTCCAGTAGTTATAAGCAATATCTTACCTGGAATAAGAGCTGTACTAATATCAATACCACCACTTTACACTGTTTGGCAAATACCAGGTTTGCTTCAATACATTCTCATGACATGTCCTTTGCCTGGCCTCCAACACCCTTTCCTCTTCCAGCAGTTACCTCCTTCTAGAGGTTCTGCTCCAAGAGATTTAAGCTGTCCTAAACAGAAACAATGGAGAAGACAGATATTTGGAATTATAAATTTTTTCTGTTTGTATACAAAACAACCATTGCAATGTTAGCAGAAGCAAGACAATAGCAGTTAACAGACTCTCTCCTCATAACTCTATTTGTTAAGAAAAGGCACAATATTCAGTTTTTCATAAGCAGTAGGCAAACCAGGCTGTGCTAACTTATTTATCAGCTTTATATTTTTTATTTCAAACAAATTCCAAAAACAAACTGATGATTAAAATTAGTTTCATACATGTGAAAATACTTACCTGGCTGTTTATTTTAATAAAGAAAAACTGAAGTTTTGCTAGATAGTTGCTGCTAATTGATGCTGTTTCTAACACACTTAATAACTTCACTGGGAAAAAGCTAACTGCCTTCTTAAGTAATGAGAATTGCTGATCCCTTAGACACACAATTAATTTACCCAAGGACACCCAATTAGTACATGCATGAGTGCCTAATAAGATCATGGGTGAGCACTCTAGTGGGCGTAAATTACAAGGTTTGGTAGCAGGGGCTGCAGAGGTGACCTGAGCAAAATACAGCCATGAACTGTCCTGTGCTATCCACTTCCTGCTGACTCTGAAACCCATATAAACACCCTCACACACCCCAAAAGCTGCCAGAGCATCACACGGCAAACCTTCCTCACACATGTAAGCAGTTCTCTGCTAGGGTAAGAGTTGTGAAGACACACATAGACACATGGAGTGTTGAGGAGACAAGCATCTAATGAGACATTCTTTGAAGCAGGCATTCTATACCAAAAGGAATTCCATATCTGAGGACATGCACTCAGGGATGACCCAGTGCTGGAGTAGGAGCAGCCATGAGGGGTGGGTCAGACACAACTGAACACAACCCCACACTCAAAGGAATTGGGATGGACTAAGTGTAACGTGCAGGAAAAATTAGGAAAGTTGAGACTAGGAAGGTGCAAAGATGATGATTTTTGCCTTAAGCTGGGCCTGGGAAGTAAGAAAAAAGAATATTTAAGTGTTTTTTAAATTATGTTCTCTTTTCCTGAATACACATATCAGTAATTTGAAGTTTGTGTTAATTAGCAATAAAGTAAAAGTTCTGCAAGTTGTAACTCTTTTTCCTGTGACAGAGAAACCTGGCAGATGGCTTTTGAGAGATATCCTTCAGTGAAAGCAGAGAAGAACTTTGACCAGAGTATATGATAAAGCACTAAGCAGTGTTCCAGATTCTAGGCCATATTTTCTTACTCTACCTGATATCAAATCCCCAGAGAGTAACTCCCATCCCTGCAGCCAGCCCAGCTATGCCACCACCAATTATCAGCATCTTGAGAGATCAAACAGATAGTGAAGTGCATTCTATGTTCACTTATTCCATCACATGCTGTGTCTGCAATATGCCTTATCTTCAAAAGCACTTGAACTTTAAAGAGCATCAGAGGCTAAAAACTAAGTACTTCAGGGAAGTAAAGGAAAAATCTTATCTCAACAATCCAGTATAGTTAAACAGCTGGTTTAGGCTATAGGAGCAGGTGGTCATCTGTATGAAAGGTGCCATATGTAGAAAATAAGATAGAAATAAGTTAGGAAGAATTAAGTTAAACAAAACATGACTAGAGCCACTTTTTTCTGTTCCACAGGATATTGGACTTAACTTGGACTTCGATAACAAAGAATGCTAACCCTATTTGCCAAGCTATGCAAATATTTTCCTTTAATAGAGCTCTTCTCAGGATGAATTCTGACAGGTATACTGAAATTAGTATCAGAAGGCTTCAGAATGAAAAAAAGACTGTTTTAAGATCCTTAAAAAAAAAAAAAAAGTGACTGGCCTTCTGAGGCATGATGTGATTTAATGTATATTTTAAAATATACATTTAAAATAATTGCAATTGATCAAGCATTTGCCAAAAAGAGATGAGAAGCCCAAGGCAAAACTAAGACATAGGTAATACATTCACCTACAAGCTTCAGTTACCCTTGGCTGCACTGGATTTTAGGGAGGTGAGAACAAACAGGAGTCCCTGACGTTGGTGTCCTGCCAAGCAAAAGCAGATCTAGTACATCTTTTGGGGACCATCCTGTGAACAGTCCAATCCTGACCCCTTGGGGAAGTCTTAAGAGGTTTTGATCCAGAAACCTGCATTCAGAGATGCTCAAATGCAGTTAAATCAGCTTCCACAAGACAGCTCACATGTCTAAAGCTAGTGTGATCCGGCAAACCCAAAAACAATCACAAGAAATCAAGCACTATTAGTTATCTCTTAGAAGGATCATGTGGGAGAGCTGAACTGCCTTATCACACTAGTAGTCCAGCTTTCTAGTATGCACTTCTACTCTGTAAATATCAGTTGTAGCAACTGCATCTTCAGGGGAGACACTTGTCCTGCTGCTATCTAACCAGCAAAAACCTTGCCAAAATAGCCAGCACCACTGATTTGGACCTATAACATGTAACCAGATAACATTATAGGGAGGTAGTGGCACCCTCAGATGAGGAAGTATTCAAGTATCCATGCCAAAAATATGCATTGAAATATCATACTTCCTAAAGTTCAGATGTCAGTTTACAAATTACAGAAGCAGAGCCAAAACCTTCAGACAAATACACAAGCCAAATTAATAAGATAATTAATAGAAGCCTCATAACAATAGCATAACGGACATCTTAAAGCAATAAATTTTGAAACAGTACATTCAAATGTCATTCCAGTTTATACCAGTGGCTTGAAAACTAAATGTTTGATGGAAGACAAATGCTAGGAAAAGAATGCATACCAAAGGTGCTGACTCACAGCATAAAGTGCTTCTTGCAACTGCAGTATTTGAGTTATTTAATTTTGTGGCTCAGCTGACATACCTATACTTAAGTGTCATCCCTCTTGCATAGAATGTGGACAGTGCACAGGACTGCTCATAGCTATTCCAGGAATTTATAGCACAGGTTCCCTTGCTAAAGTAATGAGTTGATGATTATATAAACTTTACATGAACTGGAAAAATCGGGCAAACTTTTCAGTTGCATTCACAGTTACATGCTGCTTAAGCTTTTACAATTTATCTCTCCCAGTCAGATATCAGATATTGTTCAAAAATCTTCTCAATTTATTGTTCTTTGTTCAGAGAACAAGAGGTGGCCCAAAAATATACACCAAAATGCTGTCATGTCTTAACATTTTGTAGCAATATGGATCTTTGTTACAGCAAACTTTTTTGTTAGAAACATCTAATAGTTGGGGGAGTGGTTTTGTCTGTTTGCTTTGTTGTTGTTTGGTTTGGGTGTTTTTTTTTAGTTATTAGGGAATTAAAAATTGCCAATTTCTTCAGAAGAGCTTCAGGTATGCAGTAATTTGGGGATGGAGGACTGCTGTTGTTGGCTGATTTTGCCAAAGAATGCTTTTCAGGACAGTTAACTATGGGTTTCTCAATGCTTTTTTTTTTTTCTTACCAAAACTGAGCAATTGAAAACCTTTTTCCACCTCCAGTCTTCTTAAAACCTTTTCCTCCTTCTTTCAAAGCTTAAACTAAAATTAAACTGGGCATGGGAGTAGAATGCCCTTTATCCTAGAAGTGTAACAAAATACAAAACCAATCTAACATCAGTGATCTAAATGCTGAAGCAGGGGGCATCCAGTGCAACTCTCTTGATTTCTTGGATAAAGATGACAGAGAAGCGGGTCCACTGTAAGTACTGAAGGGTAAGATAGGCAATCATTCGGGAAATTCTTATATTCTATAAAAATCAGTATTCTGTAGCTAATGGTGAGTGATAGTTTAGAATCACAGAGTGGTTACAATTGGAACAGACCTTAAGATGATCTAGTTTCGACCCCCTGCCATAGGCAAGGACACCTCACACTAGATCAGGTTGCTCAAGGCTCTGTGCAACCTGGCCTTGAACCGTGCTAGGGATGGGCAGCCATCACTCTCATACTAAAGAATTTCTTCCTTATATCAAATATAAATTTCGCCTGTTTAAGTTTGAACTCTTACTTCTCATCTTGTCATTACACCCTGATGAAGGGTCCCTCTCCTGCATCCCTGTAGGCCCCCTTCAGACACTGGAAGGCAGCCTTCTCCAGGCTGAACAGCCCCAATTTTCTCAGTCTGTATGGGAGGTGCTTGAGCCCCTTTATCATCCTCATGGCTCTCCTCTGGACTTACTCCAGCAGCTCCATGTCTTTTTTATGCTGGCAACATCAGAACTCTACACAGTACTCCAAGCTGAGTCTCGCAAGAGCAGAGAGGGAGGATCACCTTCAGCTTGATGGCCACACTCATTTTGATGCAGCCCAGGATATGGTTGGTTTCTGGGCTGCAAGTGCACACTGCTGGCTCACGTTCAATTTCTCATTGTCCAACGTCCCCACATCCTTCTCCACAGGGCTGCTCTGAATCACTTCTCCACCCAACCTGTAGCTGTGCCTGGGAGTGCCCCTGACCCTTGTACTTTGCTTTGTTGAACTTCATAAGGTTGGCATTGGCCCACCTCTCAAGCATGTCAAGGTCCCTCTGGATCCCATTCTTTCCCTCCAACATGTACACTGCACCACACAGATTGGTGTCATTGGCAAACTTGCTGAAGGTGCATCAATCCCACTGTCCATGTCTTCAACAAAGATATTGAACAGGATCATTCCCAACACCGACCCCTAAAGAACACCACTTGTCACTGGTCTACACGTGGACACACTGACCACAACTCTGTGTGCCACTACCCAGCCAACTCCGTATCCACCAGGTGGTCCATCCATCAAATCCATGCCTCCACAGTTTAGAGACAAGGATGTCACGTGGGACAGTGTCAAATGCTTTGCACAAGTCCATGTAGACGATATCAACTGCTCTGCCCCTATCCATCAGTTCTGTAGCCCTGTCACAGAAGGCCACCAAATTGATCAGGCATGATTTGCCCTTAAATGAAGTCATGGTGGCTGTCACCAACCACTTCATTTTTTCCTTACTGAAGGCAAGGTAAAATTTCTACTGGCTTCACTGAAG